ATTGTTTTTTGCTTTTGTTGTTTTCATTGTAGTGCATTCAGTGACAAACCTGTTTTTTATATTCGATAGTAATTCATAGTAAAAATAATTTTGTGAAGAGAAGAAGTTTCTTCTCAGTAACGAACCTGTTTCAGGCTCACCCTACTCTACTCACGAGACAGTGGACTGTTCCATTATACCCGTAGGTGTTACCCTAATTAACCTTCCAGGTCCAGTGTCTGTCAGTTGACTGTCTGTCAAATGAGTGTCTGCCAATTAGGAGATAACCCCTCTCAGTGGTATGTTCTCATTTCGCCTACAGTCTTAAAACAACATGTCATGGTTGACTGTTGACTGTTGATTACGCAATGGTGAACTAGTGGCACCCCTATGATCTAAAAATGGACTCTTCTAGTTGATTTAAACATATTTTTATTCATGAAGATGAATTGGGATTTGTGAACAAGCATTACTGCTTATGTTAACACCGCTCCCATGCAAGATATAATACAACATGAAATGGAGGACTTGACGTCATCGATACTGACCATTGCATAAATATAATATTTTTAGAATGTATAAATATATACAGATTACATGAAATACAACTATTCTCTAAGTAGTCATAAGTTAGAGAGTTACAGTTGTGTGTGTCTCACAAGCACTTGTAGAACTATAAATCAATCATGAGAGGGTTGTTGAGTAAATTTAATTATTTTCCTGAGAAAATTTAAAACGTTGTGTCTTGGTTATATAATCGTGGACGGATTCAACTATTTTCTGGTTTACACAGGGAGTAAGTTCTTTGTTTCCCTTAAGAATGGTATCCAGGTTATAACCGGTAGTGTAGACTAACAACTAGTCTATGAAATGAACATATTTTACTGAAAAAAGTTCATAGTAAAGAAAAATATAATATAATGAAAAGGAGCCCTGAGACTTTCTTCATTTTCAGAAGCTGGGGAAATCTAGACTTGCCACATTTTCTAGACTTGCATGGGCTTTCTTGGATATATTTGCTTCAGGGTCTGTACGAGAGACTACCGGTAGTGTAAAAATACATATTAAGTCTTATCCGAGTATAGTCACGGCAAGTGAGGAAATAGTGTAGGGCGTTTTCACTCTGATGTCCACAAGAACAACAAGGGCTGTCTATTAAATGTCTGCTATACTTATCGGCGTTTAGGTCGCTACATCCGAGCCTGAGGCGGCAGTGAACGATTTGGCAAAAAACGAGTGCCATAATTAAGGTCAAAGTAAATCTAATTTCAGTTTTTGTAATAAGGTTTTTAAATTCTGTGAGATTACATGACGCTTTGGAATTTGGTAGGGCATTCCATAAATTTATTGTGGCAGGTAAAAAGGATTTAGCATAAGAGGCAGTGCCACTGTAAATTCCTTGTATTTCAGAGTTATTCCTCAAGCTGTAGTTTGTAGTTCCGGAGACAGAGTTTTTGATCAGGTCACAAAGATATTTTGGCAATTGGTTGTTGTACATCTTATAGAAAAAAGTTAACTTCTGGCAATTCCTTCTATCTTGCATGGACTGAAGAATAATTATTTACGCACCATACGTCGAAAGAGGGAAGAGGGGTTTGGGCCTGTTTATCTTGATGAGACTCGGATGAACGAAAGCCACTCTGCAGAACCATAATGGGTTGCAAGCGCTGAAGAGACATGCTCCACAGCTCCAGGAGACTACCTTTATGCAAAGGAGAGCGACTCATTGTGTTTCATGCGGGTTGTAAATCTGTGGGGTTTGTACTTGGATGTTCCCTTGTATTTAGGGCTAAAAGCCAAAGACAAGAGAGATTATCACGCCGAGATGAATGGACAAGTTTTTATGGAATGGGTACAAAAACAACTGGTACCGGCGTTGCCATCAAAGAGCTTAACTGTCATGGACAATGCTCCGTATCATAGTGTCCAGGATCCGGATACGAAAGCGCCAACTTCAAATTCCAGGAAGGGAGACATGACAGTGTGGTTAGAAAACCATAATATGCCGTTTCCACAAAACACAACACAAAACCTTTATGAAATCATTAAAACCAACAAAAGAGCACCTGTATCTGAAATCACAAGGTCATGACCTCTTCCGTTTGCCTCCTTATCACTGCGATTTGAACCAGACTGAACTGATATATCCATGGCAAACATCAGTTAAGAAAGTTGAAAATGCTATGACGATGAGTATGATGGGATATTTATATAGCGCACATAGCCACGCAACTAACGGACTGTCGGAAATAGAAAAAAGAATAATTTTTTTCGCATCTATATCTACAATTTATGTAGTTGATATGTGAAAGTGTGAAATATCTGTCAAACGAGGTTCGGCCTAACTGTAGTCTCAGTGGTAGTGAGATGGGATACGTAGAAAAAGGACTTTACTGAGGAGAGTTTAGTGCAGTCCAAAGCGACTTATTTGGAACTGACCATGACTTTATGCAAATTAGTGTGCGGTGATATTGTATTACACAGGACACTTTTTAAATGCCCATTTAAATATTAAACTTAGCTTCATTATAAACGATAGATGACGTAAAAAATAATAACTTTAATACTGAAAATATTAAGGATGTAGCTACCATGGAGTCTCACTATCACTATAAAAGGAAACAGGTAGGAGGGATCATGTCAAACGGTGTGTCAGAACGGGTGTCACAGACGGTGGTTGGGGTCGGGTTGGGGGATAGAGATATCAGCTGAGATAAGATAACCCTTTAGTGGAATTAAACTGGGGACATAAACGGCATGTATATATTTTGAGATGGCTGATTTAAGCTTTTCTATGGGTATCATACTCTTTACATATCTCAACAGAAACTTTATGAAAGTAAGGCACTTAAGATGTAAATCAATAGATGATACATATTCAACACACGTGAGACAGCATATAATATCTTTGAGATGACCCCTTGAGCCCGTAGGCAGCACATGCATTTCATGCCAGGTGAGTCGACGGTCCGTCGTTATACCTGGCCGAGCGACCTAATTGCCATCTATAGTCTGATCTATTCTTTTCAGCAGCTATTCGTATTTTGTTTTGCCCGATTTTACGAGTAAACATGTTTTTCTGGATACCCTATTACGCATCCCACTGAATGCCCAGTTAGGCCGATGTGATTTATTTAGACATATGCTATTTGCAATTAGGGATAAAGAGGAACAGCCTAAAACATTTCCGACAGTACTTTAGTACATGCTCAAGGTGCTTGAGTGTTCGTTCCCTTGATCAACGGATGTCTTTTTTCTGACATTCTATTTAACCAGACCCGTGAAGATCCGGGTGAGAATATTGATCTTCAGTAACCCATGCTTGTCGTAAGAGGCCACTTACGGGATCGAGTGGTCAGACTTTCTGACTTGGATGACACATGTCATCGTATCCCAATTGCGCAGATCGATGCTCATGCTGTTGATCACTGGATAGTCTGGTCCAGACTCGATTATTTACAGACCGTCGACATATAGCTGGAATATTGCTGATAAACACACACTCTTTTTAACCAACTCAACTCCCTGGGGAGTATTCAGCTCATGCAACCTGTTAGGCGCAGCGAGTTATCACACGGTCCCCCTCCTAGCTGTGGAGCATCAGTACTGGCTTGAAAGCGGTTTACAACAGGCGACTATCAGTCCTGTCATTATTCGAGTGATACCATCCCTAACGATGAAATCAACATCGCACACTTGCCCCTCGCTTACCTGGCTGTTACCTGAGCTATCGCTACACCCTTGTCACAAATCGTGATACAGCTAATGAAAAAATTATGGTTTGTGAAATAGACAAAAATTATAAAAACACTTATGTAGAGTTGGTGGGTTTTTGCTATTTACTTTGGCGTTGGTGTGAATCATTTATGATTATTTGGTGTTTTTTAGTTAGAGAACAATCAACTGGGCATATTTGACTTAAACGGACTGGGCAAGCAGCCACACATACACACGCATGCACGTCGTGAAAAGGAAATATTAAACCCCGTTTCACCTCATCTTTCTTACATCATCAAGAGCTGTACATGATAAGATAATAGGAAGTTCGTCACATATAACATGGTAGTTACAAATTGTACCAATTCTATTGTTCAAATTTAGGTTTATATTAGATCAGGGATAATCTACAACAGGGATAGGTCACTCGCTTGCTTTCTTTACCATTTGTACTAATTAGCGTGTGCCTCGTCATGCTCCAACGCGCACAGTGACTTGGTTCCCAGCACAACTTCGGCTGCGTTTAACAGTACTTCAGCCAGTTTATTGTATCAGTCGGAATTTTACAATGAATGAATGAATGAATTATATGTGAATGAAAGAAATACAGAAAAAAACAAAGGAAAGAAATACCTATGTGAATGACTGAAAGAATAAATGATACACCACGGCCATCCCTCCCCAAACATGTTAAAGAACGCAAAACTATCGCTAGAACACATGTGTTAACATCGATCAGCTGTCCTTTTTTAAAAAAATCTACGTTGAGACATTTTTTACATTAGTAATTAATTCAGATATCTCATTGCATGTGTTGAATGGCATGGACATTGACAGAATGTTAACTGACACTGGCACACACCCCTCAAAAACAGAAAGTTTAAAACCATCGCAAAGCGTTGTAAACACCTTTCCAGTTTTTATCAAATACTAAGATCAACAAGAAAGAAAGAAGTTTTAGAACTATAACACTCAAGCACCACAAGCATCAATGGCGGATCAGATCAGATCGGCGATATGTCAATTTCTATACACCTCAAATACACCCTAACATTTTTTTAAAATTGTGAAACTATCACTATCACTTGCAAACACCTTTCATTTGATGGTATAATCCCCTCATTTCAATATATCTTGAAATTTCTCCCTGCATTGTAAAATGACATCGGACGGATATATTCACCTTGTTTTAAACTGTATTGAGCTTGAAACGAAGCTATTTTAGAGAATTTGTTCGGAGGATATAAACAAGTATATGACTTCGGAAAAGTGGTTGGCTAAGTCCCGGTGAATCTCATTTCGCTGACAAGTCGTTACATCTTTTTAGAAATGCGTACTTCCGTTTTCGAACGAATTGTGGGTAAATAAACGTCGGCCATATGCAAGGATGGCTGCAACAACAAGAGAAGGTAAAATTTGAAATGATATCATTCTAAACACCTCGATGTGATTTAGAAACAGTCACACACGAATGTGAAACGCAGATCACTAAAGAATCATCATGTGCAGTTACCATTGCGGCAGTGTTTATGTCATTAAAAAAAACCTGGTAAAATCGGTGATTTTTAGCGAGACGAGAGTCAACTCTTGCTTGCGGTAATGAGGGTCCCGATCACATGGCCTTCAGGTTTAAAATAAAGAACAGAAAGTACTCGCTCGCCATAACGTCTTTCTTGAACAGTCAAATCATAAAGTGATCATTGTTGTAAGATTGGTTCTTACCTCAAAACTGCTGTTTAGTCCGTTTAAAATTGCAAATCTGGGAGATGGAGTCCATCCTAAAATTATGAAATTTGACATGGTGAAAATTTCTTAGAATGATTTCCGCAGTGAAGTGGCATGAAAGTAATCATACAGAATGCCTTAAGATTACCATCCATGAATTTATGAGTGCATTAGAAAAATTCCCAAGCATTTAAGCAAAATGACTTGTGAATCTGCACGTCCCTTTCACGTATTAAATAACTAGCGGTTGATCCACATGAAATTTACAGGTTAGCTGAACCATGATAATGATTAAGAACATTTTAATGTTTTGCAGACACATGAGCAGACACATATTATGAGCAAGGATCCAGCATTTTGTTTCAGGATCATTCGTTGGTTTCACATTGATTTTTTGACTCGTTGTGCGCATGCGCAGGGTGTGTAATTTCTGTAAAAATATACTGAACAATAAAAGTTTATCACATTTTTGGAAGTTGTATTTAATTTTCAACAAGTAACACTTGATGCTGTAATTCATTACGCATGGAAATAGAGTGACCATTTGACAGCACAATGGAAGTGTCAAAAGATGTGTTCAATCCAGGACGTCAAGCTGACGTTACACATTGTAGGGTAGGGGTGAAACGTTCCAAATGACAAAAACGAGTTAATAGCGTGTGTGGGCTCTACATGCTTCTCGTTGGCCAGACGCGGGGCTCGTGTTGCCTGTGTCATCATGATGAGGTCACAATGTGACGGTCTTCCCGTGGGGTGGTAGAACAAGGCCTTCAAGGTCTCTAACTTGGCCATTTTGTTGGACCCAGACCTGGAAGTACCTGGCGACGTGTCTTACTTGCTGGCCAGCACGTAGTCGTCCAAGGGCTTCATTGCGTTGATTTTCTGGCATTCCAGACCGATGACCCATGCTTCAAACTGAACATTTCTTTGTGGTTTCTGTACACTGATACTCCAGTGTGTCATGTCAACCATTTTATACAACCCAGTTTGCATGATTTTTCTGCTGATCGGCATAAACACGTTCTGCACGTGCACCATCCTGGTTTTACAACGGTCCAACAATCGATTAAAGTTTGACGGCACTCAAGTGTGTCATCATGTGTTCATGTTTGGGCAAAATTTCAGTATTTAGTCTCATATCATTCTTTTGTATATGAATGTTACAAAAATGTGCTAAACTTTTGTTGTTGAGTTTATTTCCGGTTTGGTCCTATGTTCTACCGATAGTGTAAACACACTCTAAAGAAAACAAAAATCAGAGCATATACATTTTTTTTTTGGTCGAATGCAAGTGATCTCAATTCATTTATGAAACAAAGACCTGGAGTAGTTGAATAAATAGCTTAATTTATGTGAACAAGCTCTTGTATAAACACATCTCACCACCACCGTCCTTCCTGTACATACCCTCTCACAACTAAATAACATGAGATTTATTATGCAGAGCAACCAGAATAGGATATCAATTATTGAAAAGCATAGGCAAATAGAAGTATGTACTGAGCTATGAACAGTTATCACACGTAAATAATCTTTATAAATGTTTTTATTTAGAGTGTATTTCTACTATAGGTACACATATAACCAAACGGGAACTGTTCAGTGCTTATTTTTACATGCTCTGCGCATGCACAAAGCTAGTTGAAAAGTAATGTGAAACCAACGATTAATCTTGCAAGGAGTAGATGCCTTAGGAGTAAGACATCTTTGATAGATGATATTTTTTGCATATGGTTAAAATGTGTCATGTCATATTTTGCTTTTGTTCTTGTTTCAGAGATTGAAGAGCAGGTGAGAAGTATCCAGGCCAAGAAAGCACAACTAACTGTAGCCCCAACTAATGAAGATGATTGTGAAAGAGTTGGACTTGGGGCAGAAGGACATTATGATGTGGATATCTATGATTCTAACAAATTTTCTGGATACGTCACATCGATTGCTGCCACAGATGAACCAGATGTATGTACAATTCTCTGGTTGTTTGCCCTCATAGAAATAATAAATGCATGATGTAAATTGATTCTTTGATTTGCCTTGATAAATGTCAGTTGATAAAGTGAAATTAAAAATTCATTCTTATTATCTTGGTTACATATAATTATCTGTATAGTACAGCATGTTAAGAACATGCCGCTTTTACTTGGTTTTTTGGATGATGACCACTGTTTTGCTTTACCGAAGTGATGTCATGAATTTACTTCAATGAAATTTATGTTCTGTATTATTGTTGTGTTTTTATCATGGGGACATATTTCATTGATCTTGTTGATTTGCTTCTACCATGTTTGCTGCAAAGTTTTCTGTGTACTATCATCAATCATACTTTCAAATCGCTATTGTTGGTTTGTATTACAAGGGGGTATGCACATTAAATGAAACACCGTGAACAAGGAGGGTTGGCAGGGCTCGATTTAGTACTTTGTTACTTGCACTGGTGCAACCCAATATTACAAAGTGCAACCTAGTTATCAGCCAAACATGTACCATGTGCAAGTCAATTTTTGAGAAATAAATCAACAATAAATCTAACATTATAAGCATAAGTATGCCAATTAATTTTTCTTCTAAACTTTGAATAGCTATGGCACTGAAACATGGCTATTTATAGACACGTTTCAGCTATTACAGCTCTTGTAAACAGGGATCAGCTGCGTCCCTGTGTTGCTATGGTTTCATGGGTACTACATCACGGAAATATGTTTATGTGCACCGAAACCCTTGAACACACCACATTGCAACTGGAATTTGGCTTGTGCAACTATGTTTTTGTCTTAGGTTGCACCTGGTGCAAGTAGGTTAACATTTTTTTAATCGAGCCCTGGTTGATCTAAGTTAATGCTCATCACGTTCCACACGTGCATTTGTTTGAACTTTCACTGTTTGAACTACTGCGCTTACCCCCTTGTAATCCAAACCAATGTCAACGATTTTAAACTATGATCGTTTGTTAAACAACTTTTATCCTAAGTTGAATAAAATTCTGAGATTTAAATTTTCAATTGGCAAGGTAAAATTATGAGGATTCGCAATCTTAATTTCACTTTATTTGATTTACTTTTTGGTTAAATGTGAAATTTATCTGTACGTTTTCACAACAAACAGACTATAAGTGGCTTTTTCAAAGTTAAAATAGGTATATTTCTCTCCAGCAAGCACCGGCACACATACTTTGTCTTGTATTATTGTTGATTAATATAAATTAGTGTTAAAATTTTCAGTTCCTTTGTTTTATATTTCAGGACTATGAAGATGTAGGAGCTGCATTTCCTAAGCGGTCAAGTTACACTGCACCGTTGAACTTACTTCACGAAACAGCAAATGACAAGGTTTGTTGTGAATGAAATCATGTACTCATTTATAATTTCTCTCCAGTAGTTTGAAAGAAAACATTTAGTCAATTAGGTTAATTCTGCATGAGGTTCAGGGTAAGCATTTGTTGAAATGATCCCTTTACCTTTATTGCTTGTTCCAAGAGGCTACTAGTTTGGATCAAGACTGTCATAGCTATGATGAAGTATGGGAGTTATTGTTGTAACTCTTCTATAGGTTGAACAGGGTCCTAATTGTTGCCTGTCTGAGTTTGAATAGTTGCTCTGGTATCGAAGTCTCAACTATTTTAAGAAAACAGTCATACTGCTTGATTGTTGTTGAGTGCACATTGAACTGGCTTTAGATATTGATCATAACAAATCAACAATTGTTAACTAAATATTGATTTGATTATTGGTTAACAGAGCCCGGATAAGATTTAGCTCATGTGGGTACTGTACCCATGTTTTTTGGAGTGTGTATTATGAATGTTGAGTGGGTATTTCATTTTCCGTTACCCACTGCTTTCAAATATGTGGGTTTTTCAGTGATTTTACTCAACTAAGTATATGTCATTGAGTATGTTTACTAAGCAGGTATGTACTGCCTTATGTCATACCTAATCAAAACCAACTTAAATATAAGGAAATGATTTCATAAAAAATCACTCATACAATGACAGTACAACACTAGTCCTATACTTAAGTACAACTTGATAGTAATCTGTGTCTTTTCATTTCAGCAAGCAATTTTATAAATTTATTCCATTACACATATGTTTTAAACTTTTATGTATCTAACATTTTAAATGCGTAATTGGTATGCAAAAATTATTTTTCAATGCATAATTTGAAATTTTCTATGCATATTTTACTCAGATACGCAGCTTATCTGGGCCTCTGAGTTAATATTGGAGCCCAAAGAAATTTGATCCATATGTTAAGAAAGGTCTTAAGGAAATCCTCATATTTCATGCCACTGGTGTGTGATGACACATTTATACATGAATTACTAGAAAAAAACCAATGTAGATGTAACTTTGTGTATTGTGTGTAAGTTTCATCACAACAGTTTAAAGTAAGATATCATTGATGACACAGTTTTCTTATGAATAATCATTGGTAATGCTTCCTACCAATAACGTTTCGTTAATCAATTTTTGTGGGTGGCAAACTTTTGGCACTATACTTTACTTTTGTGTGTCAAATTTACAGCTTCAATATGTCAATTGTTGCATATCAAATGTTGTAGGATTATGATCCGCTGGCAGATCATCGGGTGTCAAAGATTGCCGACCGTGAAACTGAATACCAAGCCCGACGACGTCAGATGATTATTTCGCCAGAGAGATATGATCCATTTGCTGACGGTTAGTACAAATCCCATCAACTCTTTACTTTGTGTCTGTCTGTTTACCACCTTAGTCTTCTTAATGATTTGTACACTCAGTGTCACAATTGTCAATTACCTCTTATTATTCCTATTGGAAGGTAATGATGGATGTCATTGATAGTTTGTGGTGTGGGTGTTTGTTCAGTGTTGGATGATGATGGGTGTGAAACAGGACTTGGTGTTTGTGAATTCTGTGATAACTGTGGAAAAATGTAAGGGTATAAGTAAGAAGAAAAAAGCCGTTTGTATGAATTGATATCTTATGGGGAAGGAAGTTAAAAGTGTTTGAAGAGTTGTGGGGCTTTTTATCAGTCACAGAATGTCCAGTAAATGATGGATAGAGGATGAGTATTGGGATTGGGAATGGGTTGATATTCAACCCTTTAAGTAACAGTAATTTATGGTAGGGATTGGTAAAGGGTGTGTGTGTCAATATGTTAACCAATATAGTATGAATAAATTAGGTTGGTTGTTTAACACTGCCCTCAGCAGCCCTCCAGCTATATGACAGTGATCTGTAAATAATCAAGTCTGGACCAGACATTCTGGCAATCAACAGCACAAGCATCGTTCTACACAATTGGGATACGATGACGTGTCAACCAAATCAGCGAGCCTGACCACCCGACCCTGTTAGTTGCCTCTTCCGACAAGCATGGGTTGCTGAAGACCAATTCTAACCCGGATCTTCAGGGGTCGAAATAAATTTGGTGATGAGGGCTGAGGATGGGGTTTCATTCTCTAGGGGTTACAGTAATGGGAACAACATTTTTGAGAATGTTGTGTTTTTCTTGCCCTGTCAAGGTGCAGATTTTTAGGAAAGGTCATTGGTTTTCTTTTCACAGCAGTGTAATTCAGGTGTGGTTAGATGTGTATGTTCAGCATTATATTTGAGCATTTTTTGAAAGCGTGTTTGATATTTGCGAAACAACTAGAGAAGTACTGGCTAACAAAAACAGGCATAACAAGAATGATCGTTGGATAGAAGAATTAGCGGCATCTCTTCTAATGTTTTCAGTAATCTTGGACTCTCACAATGTGTGTGATGCGTATATATATATTAGGTAAAGTAATAGTCATACAAATAGCAGTGCTAAGTTTCATTTCCGTACTGCCAAAATATCAGTTGCTAAGCCTTTTCTAGGGAGGTTTTGTTATGTTTATGAGTTAAGGATTAAAGAGAAATGGGGGTAGTTTATTTACATATACAATCATCATGATGGTATCGTAATACTAAGATACAGCTTTGCTAATTCCAAGCTAGAAAAGTAAGGATTTCTAATTGAACCATATAGGGCCTAGTTAAGGGCAAAACTGTCAAGACTGTTAAAGAATAGTTATGACACATATATGTATTTAGGAAAGCTGTTTATAAGATTGCTGACCTGTCTCTGTGAATGAATGTCACTGAGTTTGAAAGTTGGCTATGACGAAGCGAAGTTTGTACAACCTAAGCCTCAGTGGAGGAAGGCGAACTTGTAGGATTGTCATGTGCCGAGAAACAATAAGTCAACCCGAGACTAATGTCAAATATTTTCCTTTCTAGCTTCCTTCATTCGTTGAGGACATCGACCAAGAACCTGACAACTATATATGATATTTTTTACATCTATATAGTAATGATACATCCAAGGTTCTTTGATTACAAAATATTCTTGATTTATTAAATTTTCGGAAAAGTAACCATGGAATGAATATAAACATGAAACATGTCAAGTACATATTGCCAGTTGTTTTTAACAGGTCTTCGTAACCGTTGCAATGTTGAAAAACGTATTTATAAATATGTAATGATTTGTTTCTTTGTGGTAATGATATGGGTATCGTGCATGATATACGACCAGCCTTTATACCATACAAGGTTTATTCTGTGAGATGTGTGCGTAGTTCTATATGTTGCGTATGTGTGTGGTGGTTTAGAACTACACTAATCTGAGACTAATTTTAGGAGTTGTGAGGTCTGAGTATTACTCAGGGAGGCGTTGCAGCAAGACGGGAACCTGAAGACCCAAGGTGTACGTATACAATGCCATGGTGCAGATACCTTGAAGTGGTCAGAAATCAGATTTAGAGATTTTGATTCTTTGATTTTCATCTTTGAAACGTATTCGTCTGAAAATATTTTCAGTCTGCATGTTCATTTTTTCATGGTTTGGTTAATTTAAGTATTTAAAGAAAATACTTTGAGGCAGGTTCAGAATCTCTGTCAAGCTTTTGGCTCTATATTTAACTCTGATTAAAACAAACGAAGCTGTTGGTTCAGATTTGTTTGTTTGCATTTGAATGAGTGAGGATCAATTTTGAAACATGTAATGATTTTTGAAATTATGATTTGTCTCATTAAAACAGCATATTTTTTGAGAGATTTGCCTAAACTGATAATGGATTTGATGTCAAGATCAACAGGTGTATTTTGTAACTGATTTCTGGCCATTTCCCCAAGAACTACAAACGGATCACACCAGTCATCAACTATATGGACAGGTAACACACACAGTACAATTATAGTAGGGTTGAAATTTCAGAGTATTTGGAAATTGGTCACCAGACAGTGTTTTATTCACATTGTTTCAAAAACTGTTCGAGAAAAGTCAGTGGGATGTTTCCCCATACTCTGATCTTTCACATGTAGTTCTTGGGATGTTGTAATATAGGCAACGATTTTTGCTACTCTCCAGAGATTATGGCAATGAAGTTAATGACTATTTATTTTCGTCACGGCGCATGTCGTGACTCTTCTGCTTTGTGTTGTAGGAGGCAAGACACCTGATCCAAAGTTACAAGCAAGAACCTTCTCAGATGTTATGACAGAATTGCAGCTCGGCAAAGAACAGGTAATAATATTAAATGTCTCAAAAACATGTCACCTTCCAGTGGTTGAAATTAAGCATGAAACACAAGAGATCATTGTCATGATCTTAAGGTTGTAAGATACAGTTTGGGGGAATCTCTAGATACAGTTAATACAGGAGAAGAACACATAGACATAAGGTTCCCCTTGAATCTTGGTACACTGCAGGAAATGAACTTCGCAATAGCTTGTGTAAGCATTTATTAAATACTAGTAATGCTTCGATAGGACTGTGGAAGAGGACTACAGATGTTGAAGCAGTTAAAATATTGAAATTTCTTGTCGATTTGTTAACTCTTGTCATCCTATCCCAATTGCGTAGATCGATGATCATGATGTTGATCACTGGATGGTCTGGTCCAGACTCGAGTGTTTACAGGCTGCTGGAATATTGCTGAGTGTGGCATTAAACAACAAACAAATAAGCAAAGAAATAATGGATTTTACAGTAGACATCCTTCTCGGAATGTAAATATGAATTTATCATAACTGTTTTTTTCCTTACAGGCCGGGCTGCGTCAGCAGATGCATGAGAAGGCTAAGGCAGGAGAACTACGGGCTGTCAATGGAGCGGGAGGCGATGCTGGCCACAAACAACCCACAAAGAGGAAACGTTGGGACCAGTCCTCCGCCCAGGAAGATGCTCCCAGCAAGAAGAAAACCTCATCCTGGGATGCTGCAGAAGCTGTTACCCCATCTAACAGCCGATGGGATGAAACTCCTGGCAGAGCCAAAGGGGAACAAACCCCCGGTGCCACTCCAGGCCAAAGCACCAGACAGTGGGATTCGACCCCAGGTCACGCCACCCCCGGTGCGACCACACCAGGCAGAGACACCCCTGGCCACCAAGCCACGCCAAGTGCAAGAAGAAACAGATGGGATGAGACACCTAAAACTGAGAGAGGTAAATTTAGAATATTTTTAAACTTATCCTATCTCACGACTTGCACCTCTCTCTCTTGCTTCGACTTTAAGTGGAACGACTGTAAACTTTTTTCCTTAGGCCTCCTTGTCCATTCACCCATGCACTCCATGCTGCTCTCCCTTATTAGCTTCCTAGTTCCTAATGAAGCTTGCAGCATGCTCCACTAATTGCCCACGTGACTACCTTGAATGATCATTCTCTTTCTTGTCGCACGACTGTGGACGTGATGTATATTTTGGAAATTATTTTCACCCTAACTTCATGGGCAAAAGAGATAATCGGTCAAGGAAAAGGAAAGTTTGTGCTCAATGCAAGACAAATTATTCGTCCCTCAACCCACACGTGTTATTTACTATAAGATGAGGATTTTAAGGCCTACCTTCGTGTTTGGTCCCGGAGAATCGCTGATAGGGACAGGAAATCAACAGAATCTGATCCCACACTCCCTCCAAACGTATCAAGTTAAAGCGACAGAAGATCTTACCTTCATGCAAGAGAGCGACGTCTGTGGTTCAAGATGATTTTATGGACGCTTCCTCAGACTCCTACTTATCTGAGGACGTTCGGCACCTATTACGTGTGCATCAATCACCTCCTTCCATAGCGTCAGATCACTCGCGGGTGGTTGTGATTAATAATCCATCGTTGCCTGTCCCATCTACACTATCAGGGGACCTTAGATCGACACTATCATCGGTACATATCCCCTCGACTGTCTCAGTTTGTTTGGAGCCTGGCCAACCACGTACAACCAGCTGTTAGGTTGTAGTTTGGAAAGTATGATATTGCTAGTCTCATGAAATCTCATAAGCGAGATTTACATCCAACATGGCGGTCTCCATAGGAACTAACGAATGCTGAGGTATATGATGCATTATACCATGACTACAAAGATTTCTTTGAGCTGGAGATTCCTTTCATAGAACCGGACGGAGCTGGCTACTACAGCGTCGCCAGAGGACGTTCATCATGAATCAACACTTTGGGTTTCGTCACCTAATCGCTGATCTATATCGCAATATCATTCCAGATCACCATAACGATCTAGATCACCTTCACGATCCAGATCCCCATCACTAACCCGATCTGGATCACCGTGCCGATCCACATGATCCACATGATCCACATGACCTGATCAATCCAGATCACCAAACGGATCCAGATCATAACTTCGAATCAGATCACCGGACCGATCCAGATCATCTGGTCGATCTTGATCACCAAACTGATCCAGGTCACAACATCGATCCAGATCACCTAACCGATCCAGATCACCGATCTGATCCAGATCACAACATCAAAGTAGATCACCCGGACCGATCCAGATCACCCATCTGATGCAGATCACGACATCGAAGTAGATCACCTAACTGATCCGGATCACCAAATCAAGTCAGATCGCAACTGCAAACCAGATCACCTGTTCGATCCCGATCACTTCATAAATCCAGATCACGATCACAGTTTCCAGTTAGTGCATCGAATCGATCCAGATCACTTTACAGATCTAGATCACCTTACAGAGCCATTGACCAGTCTGGATCACAGTACAGATCCACATCTTATGGCCTCAGCCTGGAACCAAATACAGCCTTCTACTTCAGCCCATCTGGTTTTGGTAGCACCTGGCTCTTCATCTGGTCCATCATCTTCAATATGAAATTGTTCAATGCCTGATACCTGCTTCCCCCACCTCACTTCAGGATGATGTCAATTAACCTTCAACCTAGGATGCTTGTTATCACGTTCCGATATATCCAGAACACCGGAAGTACCTTCGCTTCGTGTTCAATGGGAATCACTACCAATAGAAAGTCCTACCATTTAGAATTTCTATGGCCCCGTGCCTTTTTTACCCTAGTAACTAAGCCCATAACGAGCTTCCTCCACTTTCACGGGATCACATTTGAAAGCTACATAGACGATTGCATCCAGGCTCAACAGGATCCGATCGTATTGCTTTGTCAGCTACAGTTCACCACCACGCTGCTCAGACAGTTAGGGTGGCTGTTGAACATCGCGAAATCGGAACTAATACCAACTCAGAGACTCCAATTCATCGGAGCACTAATCGACACTCGTCAGGGGATAAAGATTCAGCGATGCATTCCTCAGCTGTCTCAGGCGAGAACCTTACGGCAGTGGCAGGAGCGACTGGGCCTTCTGACGTCAGCTCAAGCCTTAAAGTACAGAGGCCAGCTCTAACTTCAGCCGATACATCGATTTCTCAACCCGTACCTTCAGGCCGACAACCCCAAGGAGCTGATTTGCCTTCCAGAACCGCTTCGTCCAGTCCTTCATTGGTGGCTCGACGAACGGAATGATTTGCGCCGGAGTCTCTATGATGCATCCCTCATGGGTTGGGGAGCTCACTTCCTCGACCATCAAGTGGCCGGGCTGTGGTCAACCGACGAATGGGTACTTCATATAAACGAGCTGGAATTCAAGGCGGTAATTCAAGCCATATCTCACATTGGGCAACAGAGCTTCAATCAACCTGTCTATTGATCCAATCAGACAATTCGACAGTGGTTTGGTATATAAATCATCTAGGCTTGACAGGCTCGGCGAATCTGCTACAATGGGCGATCAGGTTCTTCCATCTCGTTTACTCACTCAACATCGTAGCCAGAGCCAGACACATTCTCGGGTAAAAAATGTGATAGTCGATGCCTTGTTCCGATCTAACCGACCGTCCCCTACAGAGTGGAAGTTACTGCCTCAGATCTTTCAGTCGATGATCTACCCGTTATCACAGCCTCAAACATCCAACTTCCAAAGTTCGTATCACCAATCCCAGACCCCATTTCTTGGGACCTCGACGTGCTGACAATATCATGGGAGGGTCTCAATGCCTACGCGTTCCCCCCCCTCCATCTCTGCTACCAAAAGTAATACAGAAACTATTGGCCACCAGCAACATACTACTGCTTTTGGTTGCACCCTTCTGGCCAGCGAGAAGTTGGTTTGTCAACCTAAGAAGCCTGGCAGAGCCAAACCCAGTACTACTTCCCAACCGGGATGACCTACTTCTTCACCCTCACTCGGAACTGCGCCTTCAATCTACACGTTTGGCACATCTTCAGAGATCTCTCATAGCTAAGGTCTACTCTTGCCGAGTGCCCATGGCTATCACTTCGGCTATCATCGTACTTCGACCCGTTCCTGGTATGACAAGTGGAAGAAGTTTGAAGACGTTTGCAAGGTTAGGGGAATTGCATCTCCCACTTCCACTTCGGCTCAGGTCATTGCTGAGTTTCTCCAGTATCTCCACACTACTAAGAAACGAAAGGGTACTACGTTAGCTGCCTACTTAGCCGCCATCAATTCGGATTTGGCTACCACCACAGGCACGAAGATTTCCATTGTTCCCGAGTTGCAGAGTCTACTGCGCTCCTATAGACTCTGACCAGTCCAGGAAGTTCAGACCTATGGCTGGGATCTGTCCGTCCTTCTTCATCATATGATTTCTAAAGGCAAGGACGTAGAACAAGTGACATTCAAGACATTCTTCCTGGTAGCTTTGGCTACCGCTGCTCGTATATCTGAACTGCATGCGCTTGATGTCAATTGTGTGCGGTTCGAGCGGAAGAAGCATGGCAAGGTCTCTGTTGGGACTTCATTGTTAAAAACCAACTGGCAGGGCAACCGGACCGGATGTTTACCATTACCCCGTTGTCCACCATTCTTGGGCCTGATGATAAGAAAGATTTGACACTCTGCCCTGTTAGGGCTCTACACGTTTATCTTGCTGCCTCCAAAGATTGTCAACGGCTACGGAAGCGCCTCTTTATACCCTTTTCGACCGCTTCAAGAACTGAGGTTCCCGGACCACATTGGCCTTCTGGATGCGTGCCACGATCCTGCGAGCCTACACCTTTGCAGGGTTGCCTCCTCCAGCCGCTTCCAATCCTCATGAGATTCGTGCACTAGCCTCGATGGCCCTCCATAGCAACTGCTCCTTGACCGCTGTCATGGAAGGTTGCTTCTGGCGTTCTGATACAGTCTTCTCTTCACATTACCTGCGAGACCTGTCTGTCGCGGATGTCCAGGGACTACACCAGTTGGGACCTCTTGTACTGGCTCAGCAGCTTACATCGCCCCAAGAACGCAGATGAGGGACAGTTCCGCATTCGTGTTACTGCTTCCTTGTATATGTGTCATTTTCAAAATTGGTAGGATTTTCAATTCTTTATTACAGTAAAATCAAACTCCTCAAAATTGATTTAATTTTATTCAAATAAAACCTCAAACACTTAATTATTCAAAAATACCAACATGCAGACTGAAATGTACTAATTGACCTTTTAATTGATACATAAGTAATTACAAGGGTGGAGGACTTCTTAGTCAGAATATGGATTTTGAAATATAATTCATAAAAATCTTTTAAAAATGGCAGACACAGCTTTTACACAGACTTAATCAAACTTGAAGATAAAAACTATCATCATGAATCTTGAAAGTGTTATTTTGTATCTTTCATTTATTTACCACAAAATGATTTCATTTTTCTAAAACATTATTATGTATATAGTTTTCAACAAGTAAAATTGTCTAAAATAAACATTAGCTACTAAGCCCAGAACATCTTTTGATGACACCAGCATAAAGAGGAGTGTTTCATGTATTATCATGAATTAATTAGAGCAGTCAATTAACACCAGTAACGTTTAGGACAATAGTGGTAATGGTTTGGACAGGAATGGTAACGGGCTGGACATAAGCCTTAAACAGTTTAATTCAACAAAGAAACAGGTAACATGAAAGGAAAAATATGATATCATTTACTTGAACTGCTAACCCTATTTTGGACAGACAGTGAAATGTGTAATAGAAATTGTAACTCGTAACTAATATGACATGTTTTCGTCCATGCTGTGGTAACGGTTTGGACATTTGTTATATCAATATAAAACTTGGTGCAAGTCGTGAGATAGGATAAGTACAGTCAGGCCCCGTTAGTCCGGACCCCGATAGTCCGATTCCCGCGATATCCGAACGGTAGCCAGCTGTAACCAATCTTGTTTACTAATTATACTGTGTAAACTCATTAACTGTTGATTCATTAATCCGGTGCTTCACTCTCCGGATCCGGATGTTAATTAGCGGTAACAGGTTAGCTAATTACACTTGGTTTTGCTTCATTAATTCGGAGGTACATCAAAAAGGTTCGGATAATCCCCTTACCTCGTGAGCACCATTTATTAGCGCTGATCTTCATTGGTAAACTTCAATGGTAATTGATAAGTGAAGTGACACTTCTGAGTTGAACATGTCGTTAGTTTCTGAATTTAATCAATTGGTAGGTCTCACTTGTGGAAACGCAACTGGCCCCATCAAAACATGTACATACGTTCATATGTTCTTGTCTCGGTGTGTCAAAGGGAAGTAACCCTACTGTAGTGTACATAATGGTTCGTTTCAGTAGTCCGTACGTTTCACTATTGAACGTTTTTGGTGAAAAAAGGATGTGTTTGGATTAACGCGGCCTGACTGTATATAAATATACGATTTATATTAAAATTTTCAATATTTGTGTGATGATAATTGTCAAAATATGTTGCATACTTTGTAATTCTATTGATTTTTTTCTGCCAAATCGTCTTATTATATTTGTCAGTTTTTTAATCAAGCACAGGGAGTAAGCATTTGTAGTCATGTTAAAGATCAAGGGGTATCTCAAGGAAAAATTACTGAACCGAAGGACCACAGGACCCCAAGAACAACTATGCTTGTTGTAAGATGAGACTCAGTGATCGGTTGGTCAGACTCAATCCCTTGGTTGAGAGCCTGTTATTGTGCATCAGCAAACATGTACGCCAAATGATCATTCTGTCAAAAAATTGTCCTGTGTTCTCTGTTGAGTGTGATTTGATTTGGCTGTGAATCCAATGAAGTAAGGTTGAAGGGGTGGCTTAGTGGTTAATGTGTTTGCTTGTCATGCTGTGGACCTGGGTTTGATTCCATACATGTGTACAGTGTGCAGATCCCTGTTCCCTGGAATATTGCTGATAGCTGCCCACTCACTGTTTGTTTATGATGGAATCTTTATTTTCTAGATACCCCTGGTCATGGCAGCGGTTGGGCAGAAACCCCTCGAACAGACAGAGGCGGTGACTTGATCGAGACCACACCAACGCCAGGAGCAAGCAAACGCCGTTCAAGATGGGACGAGACACCTGGAGCCACGCCTGGTGGTATGACCCCTAACATGACCCCAGGAGGAATGACCCCAACCATGACCCCTGGGGGTCACACCCCCACCATGACACCAGGAGGAATGACTCCTGGACAAACGCCCGGCGGTCACACACCAGGTGGCTTCACTCCAAGTGGTGCCACACCCACTGGTCAGAAAGCCATGGCCATGGCCACTCCAACTCCTGGTCATCTTATGTCCATGACTCCAGAACAGTTGCAGGCATACACATGGCAGCGGGAAATTGATGAAAGAAATCGGCCGCTGTCAGATGACGAACTGGACTCCATGTTCCCACCAGGCTACAAGGTAGGTGGTCATAGATGGTCACCATCATGTGCTTTTGTGTCTGAGAAGAGTACTGGAATTAGTGTCTGTATCTCATGGTTATTGTTAGTGAGTTATCTCTTTAAGTGTTTGTTATCATAAGAACTAATTTGTGGTTGGATCTGTGAAAATGGTGTGCTTGTAGACCATAATTAATTATGGGTACTTTGACCTTGTTTTTGAAGTGATGGGAATAATTTAAAAAGATTATCTTTATATTTTTAGTACAGCATAAAGCTCACTTTCAGAACTTAAATCTTTACTTTACTGATCCTAGCAACCTGCCATTTCCTGCTTTGGTGACATTTTGGCTGGGATTTACTTCCTGAATCTGGGATTTTTGGCTCATTCAGCCCCTACTCTGTAAAATATCCATATTGAAATAGAACAATTCCCATTTCATGTTACTATAGTTACCATAGGTACAACTATAACTGAGGTAACTTAAAATATCTCAGGAGCAAGGAGGAGGAGGCTTTCCTGCTCAGCCTCACATATGGGCAGTGAAATTTAGGAAAGTTAATATTTTAACCATTTTGCCAACCACTGTGACTCATTGGTAAATCTGAGCTCAATGTTTCAGTGATCAGATCCGTTTATCTTGCAGTTATATATGTGTAAATTACTCACCTTCATGTTTGTTTTCCTGATCATTCAGTGATTTGCTTTGAGTTGTCTGTTTAACAATGTGACACAGTAGATATTAGTTTTCAGCAATCCATGCTAAAGAGCAGAGTAATGGCGGATTTGTTGTCTTGGTTGGTTCTTGTGATTGTATCAAAACTGCTTAGATTGTAAGTCTGTGGATAGTCAGACTTGATTCTTTGACAGACCTCTTGTAGCTGGAATACTGCTGGGCAGTACAAACAAAGTGATGTTGTTAGTTACTCAGTGACTTTGTGTTGTCCAGGTGCTGAATCCCCGGCAGGTTACATACCAATCAGAAACACGGCCAGGAAGCTGATTGCCACACCCACCCCCGATGGCTGGCACCCCTGGCTTCCGGATGCAGACCCGGACACTAAGACACAGATTGTAGACATGCAGCCCAAAGGCAATCTGCCTATGATGAAGCCAGGCGACATGCAGTACCGACAAGCTATTGGTGAGATTTGTTATAGTGAGAGAGGATAGTGCAGTACAGTACCTCCTGTTGTTGTTTTTTGCGAGCACCAACCGGTGAGAGTGTAACAGGCAGTTGTTTGCAAGTTATATATGGTGGTTCACCTTGAATGGAGCACTAACTTTGTGTTGCTTACTATTGCAAGAATCACTGGCAGAGATTGCTTTTTTCTCAAACCAGCATGGCGGCTGAGGGAAGTTTGAGTTTGATAGCGGAACAAGACATTTTAGACTGATCAGAAGTGGCCCATGGCAAATTCCAAGCCTGTCAGCTTGTTCCTTTAAAAAAAAGTAACGCTCATTGTTATGTTATAGGTGGATCTAGACGACATATTGAGGTTCCTAATCAGATGGGCCCTCGCTGTTAGTTTGTAGTACAACACTCATTGTTATCCCCCGCAACGCGTTTTGTGGGGGGTATTAAAATGGACTCCGTCTGTCTGTCAGTGCATCCATGCACATTTGTCTTTTCCGGAGCAGAACTTTAAAACTGTTCAAAATATCTTCACCAAACTTGGCACACAGATAGATCTGGTGGTCTACTGGTGCCTTTTGGTAGTTTTGGTTTTTTGAATAAAATATTTTTTGCGTTTCCATGGCAACAATTTGGACTTAGACTGAAATTGAAATTGGTGGTAGTACTCTTTTCTGGAGCAGAACTCTAAAACCATTCAATGTTTCTTCACCAAACTTGGCACATAGATAGATCTGGTGGTCTACTGGTGCCTTTTGGAAGTTTTGGATTTCTGAATAAAATGGGTTTTTTGTGTTTCCATAGCAACAATTTTGGCTTCAACTGAATTTGGTGGTAGTGCTCCTTTCTGGAACTTTGAAACCTTTCAGTACTCTCCTTCCACTATGCTATATACATACAAAAACGTTTGACTCGTAGACATATTCATGAAGAATATTTTGCCATTACGGGGGATATTGATGACTTTGTCTTCTTGTTATGTTATAGGTGGATGTAGATGAAGAGTCGCTGACGCCGGAAGAACAGAAGGAAAGAAAGATCATGAAGCTGCTCCTCAAAATAAAGAATGGCACGCCTCCAATGAGAAAGGTATGTTGTTGGCATTATGGTAAATCAGAGCACAAATGTTTTTTGTGAGGATAATGCTTGTTCTATAAAAACAAGAAGACAGTGACATCCCTGTGTAAATGATATCTATATATTTTTCCTTATCCTGACTCATGAGGTAAGCAATAAGCATGAGTCAGGATAAGTATAAAATATCAATTTTAGTCAGAAAATTACATTATCATTTGTGGAAAAAAAGTGTCTCTTTTGTTAACAGCCAGGATTATGTACCTAAGGTTTGAGTGATGACCAAGGCGTACTTCAGGCTTGCTTGGTATAACTGGAATATTGTACATGGCATTCCCTCAAGTCCTTAATCGTAATACTTATATTGCTTCATGCTTTCCTATTTGAAATCGTTGCAACACATTCTTATTGTATTCCTTTCCTTCTAGGCTGCTCTGCGTCAGATCACAGACAAGGCCCGTGAGTTTGGTGCCGGTCCTCTGTTCAATCAAATCCTACCACTGTTGATGTCTCCGACCTTGGAAGACCAGGAACGTCATTTGCTGGTGAAGGTCATTGACCGAATCCTGTACAAACTGGACGATCTGGTCCGACCCTACGTACACAAGATCCTTGTGGTCATTGAGCCTCTTCTTATTGATGAGGACTACTACGCTCGTGTTGAAGGGAGAGAAATTATCTCAAATTTGGCTAAGGTAAGTCTGTAAATTGTAAGTCTACAATTAGATCTCCATAAAATATACTGAACAGCAATAGAAACGCAACTTTAAAAAAAATGAAATCTCATAAAAGTAAGCATTCATTTTTATGTTTTCTATTTAAAAACTTGACAAAAAAGCAGAGTTGAATTTCTTTTGCTGTTCAGTATATGTAAGGTTATGTTTTTGACAGCATAACAGTCCCCAATGGAATTTTAGAGTTTGGGAACCTATTATCGCAAGCTTGCCACAAGCTGTGATATTGTGGGGATGCTAAAAACAGTGCACAACTAAACTAACTCACTCACTCTATTGAAATGATCTTATTCTTCATCCTAGGCTGCTGGTCTGGCCACCATGATCTCCACGATGAGACCTGACATCGACAACATGGACGAGTATGTCCGTAATACCACTGCTCGAGCCTTTGCTGTTGTGGCGTCTGCTCTCGGCATCCCGTCTCTGCTGCCTTTCCTGAAGGCTGTGTGCAAGAGTAAGAAGTCCTGGCAAGCCAGACATACTGGTATCAAGATTGTACAGCAGATAGCCATCCTCATGGGCTGTGCCATACTTCCCCATCTCAAGAACTTGGTGGAGATTATCGAACATGGTAAGAGTTTTATTGTGAGGAAAATGACCCCATTATTTGTTATTAAACCAGGTCCAAGGGAGATAATTCCTTCTTGAAGTGTATTGTGACCTTGAAGATCAGTGCTATCTATAGAATGAGTTCTTTGTTCTGTTGTTGCCCTCAGTCACAGCTCCTCACTGGGATAGGCAGCCACAACCATGTGCAGGGTTGAATTCTCTTGTCCAGCTATGGCAGCTAAAACAGTTTCTTGGATATTTTTTTGTGTAAAATACGGTTGTTATTCAGACTATCAATATATATGTCTTAAATTTCCTAGTCATTCAAACAAATTTTCAAAATCTGAAACTGTCATTTTCTCCCACTAATTCATATATGTCTGTTTATTTCCAGGCTTGGTCGATGAGCAGCAGAAGGTGCGAACCATCACTGCCCTGGCTTTGGCTGCTTTGGCTGAAGCTGCCACACCATATGGGATTGAATCTTTTGACAGTGTCCTCAAACCTCTCTGGAAGGGTATTCGTCAACACAGAGGAAAGGTATGTTCTGCCCGTTTTCTTGGAGATCCAAATTGTATAGTTTGATGTACCATAGTCAACCGTGTCTTTAGAGGAAAGGGACCTAATGCTAAGGAGCATCCTGCTAGTCATCCGAGACAGAGTATCTTGTGCTGATTGTTGTTGAATGTTTTTGAAACTGCTAAAAGCGACGTAAAACAAAACTCACTCAATGAGCTACCACATTAAAGTAATGTGATAGTACATGCTGACTTGAACACACACACGCAGATCATAAGCCAAGTGCCCCCCGAATTTTACTTCCCTTCCTTTTAAAAATAAATTTCCAAGTCCAGAATATTGTATGATTGATGACGTAGTATTCTTTTAATGTGAGCTGAATTGGTATTTGCAGGGTCTAGCAGCCTTCCTGAAGGCTATTGGCTACCTGATCCCCCTCATGGACGCTGAGTACGCCAACTACTACACCAGGGAAGTGATGTTGATCCTCATCCGAGAGTTCCAGTCTCCTGATGAAGAAATGAAAAAGATTGTACTTAAGGTGAGTGCTAATTATAGCTTTTGTAAAGTTTCTGGAATTTGACTTTGCGTCATGATACAAGATGCATGTTGTGAATTGACGTATGTATTATATAAGAAGCAAGATTTAAAGAGCTTACTGCCTGCATCAGTTGAAGCTTTCCTTCCATAGCTGACATAGTGTCATATATAGAGGATACTAAACGATCTTCCTTGTAGTACCATTTTTATATATACTAAACGAGTTAATGATTTGGTATCAAACGAGCGAAATCAGTGGTATTTCACGGAAGCGAGTTTAGTATTCTGTGTATGACTCTCCAGCATAACTTGATAGAAACTGCCTACAGTGTGATGACTCCAAGCCAAGCAAGATCTAATATCATTGTGACAGAGAAATTAGCATTATGACGTCATAGCTCTAAACCATTATGATGTCATACCTCTAGTGATGTGACACTAGTATAATATTGCCGTAAAAATATTCCGCTGTAGCATCTTCCACGGGCAAGTAATAAAATAGAAATTCTCTTCAAAGTGTAATGGTCTCATTAACCACTCATTTCAACAAGCAGTTTGGTATGGTTGTTTTGTGTTTAGGTTGTGAAACAGTGCTGTGCGACCGATGGTGTTGAACCCCAGTACATCAAAGATGAGATTCTACCTGCTTTCTTCAAACACTTCTGGAATCAGAGAATGGCTCTTGATAGGAGGAACTACAGACAGGTATATTAAAAAATGTTACAACTTTCATTATGTTCCATGTCAAGGCATTGCTGCTTTCCTGTCCTGAAGTGCACCTCATTACTCCATGCAGTCTTGCACCACTTTCGGCTCTGGTCCAACATCAACCTGACAGGCTGTGCTAGCTTGTTCCATATTACGGGTCAGATTTACATCACTAGGAGCTCTGCTGTGCTGGTGGAGTCATGGGTGGTAAAGTTTGAGACATCCACTATTTGGGGCTATTGTCTCACATCAAGCTTACAGGCTGTACTAGAAGTGGAAAACTGTTTCAGTTTCAACATGTTAAAACCAAACTCGTTCCTTCCTTTAGAGATGTAAATACGTTACCATGCTGTGTTTGTGAACCTGTACTTTGACCTGGCATAACGTCTTTCACTGTATTCCAGCTGGTGGACACAACCGTTGAGATTGCCAACAAGGTTGGGGCAGCAGAGATTGTTGGCCGAGTCGTTGATGATCTGAAGGACGAGGCTGAGCAGTACCGTAAGATGGTCATGGAGACCATCGAGAAGATCATGTCGAATCTCGGAGCTGCCGACATAGATTCACGGCTGGAAGAACAGCTGATTGACGGTATCCTGTACTCCTTCCAGGAACAGACCACTGAGGTATGTTGGATTCGTAGGGATTGATGATGTTTGATTGTTGACTTAGTGCTATGACAGACTTGGTGATGTGGCATTGGACTTTGACTGTTTAGTCGTGTGACTGTTGGCTTGCTGCTCTGAGTGTTACCTCAGTGGTATGACTGTTGACTGAATGTTTGACTGTTGATGTTGTGGTGTGACTGTCGAAATGTTTTATGACTTGGTGGTATGACTGTTGACTGGATGTTTTGACCGTTGACATAGTGGTATGACTGTTGACTGGATGTTTTGTCCGTTGACATAGTGGTATGACTGTTGACTGGATGTTTTGTCCGTTGACATAGTGGTATGACTGTTGACTGGATGTTTTGTCCGTTGACATAGTGGTATGACTGTTGACTGGATGTTTTGTCCCGTTGACATAGTGGTATGACTGTTGACTGGATGTTTTGTCCGTTGACATAGTGGTATGACTGTTGACTGGATGTTTTGTCCGTTGACATAGTGGTATGACTGTTGACTGGATGTTTTGACCGTTGACATAGTGGTATGACTGTTGACTGGATGTTTTGTCCGTTGACATAGTGGTATGACTGTTGACTGGATGTTTTGACTGTTGACATAGTGGTATGACTGTTGACTGGATGTTTTGACCGTTGACATAGTGGTATGACTGTTGACTGGATGTTTTGTCCGTTGACATAGTGGTATGACTGTTGACTGGATGTCGGTTTGACATAGTTGATGACTGTTGACTGGATGTTTTGACCGTTGACGTAGTGGTGACGTAGTGGTGTGACTGTTGACTTGCTTTATGACTTAGTGGTGTGACTGTTGACTTGTTTTATGACTTAGTGGTGTGACTGTTGACTTGTTTTGGTGTGACTGTTGACTTGTTTTATGACTAAGCGGTGTGACTGTTGACTTGTTTTATGACTTAGTGGTGTTACTGTTGACTTGTTCTATGACTTAGCAGTGTGACTGTTGACTTGTTTTATGACTTTGGTGTGACTGTTGACTTGTTTTATGACTTAGGGGTGTGACTGTTGACTTGTTTTATGACTTAAGCTGTTGACTTGTTTTGGTGTGACTGTTGACTTGTTTTATGACTTCGTGGTGTGACTGTTGAGTTGTTTTATGACTTAGTGGTGTGACTGTTGACTTGTTTTGGTGTGACTGTTGACTTTTTTATGACTTAGCGGTGTGACTGTTGACTTGTTTTATGACTTAGTGGTGTGACTGTTGACTTTGTGGTATGATGACTCTTCAGTATGAATTTGAATTTAGTCTCTTAGTGGGTCCTTTCTCACATGATATCTGATAAAGCAGAAAATCCACTATATTTTTCGATTTAATTTCACTTTCAGGACGTGGTTATGTTGAATGGTTTTGGCACAGTGGTCAATGCACTCGGCAAGCGGGTGAAGCCCTATCTGCCCCAGATCTGTGGTACTATTCTCTGGCGTCTCAACAATAAGTCAGCGAAAGTTCGACAGCAGGCAGCTGATCTCATCTCCCGGATAGCCATTGTTATGAAGACTTGTCAGGAGGTGAGTTTATGAAACTATTTCATATGTTTTGTGTTTACTATTGGAATTGCTCACACGTTATGAACTGTTTCTATTGGAAGAACAGGATAGTGAGAAATAGACAGCCTCTATGGTCTGGCTGATATAAGTTTTACTGTTACACCAATTTCATGAGTGTTATGTTTACTGCTTTGGAAATAGTTCATATGTTTTGGACCATTGCTTATGGAAGAACTTGATAGTGAAAATTAGACAGTCTCATTGGTCTAGTGTATGGATTGTTTGCGTGAAGCACGGAAGGTATGGGATCGAATCACTGGCTGCTACATGGACAACGAAGATCTTAGAAGATTGTACTTGTTGTTACCCTGTCTGGTGATTGACGTTCTAGTGATAAGACAATGGTGACTGGTTGTCTTGGAGACAGTAGACTATTCTTATTAAACAATGGCATGTTATCTCATAATGCCAGCAGTATAAAACTCATGCCAAAACCCGTTTCACCTACTTGAAAATGATAATGAAGACATTTATGATCAAATTGTTAATTGTTACTTCATAAGGATTTGACTTTTTATGGCTATCAATGTAATGTTAATTCTTCTGTAATGTTCAAACATAGCTATGTATCTGTAAATTTTGAGTTTATGGAGCCCTTAAATCTTTAGGGATATGACAAGGGTGTGTGTGTAACACACAGAGTAACAAAATATAAATGCTACTTTATGTACTGTTTCTGTACTCATGTCCTATGTCTTTGTGGATTATGAAACACTTTTGGTATTCATCTCTTTCACTAACAGGAGAAACTGATGGGGCATTTGGGTGTGGTGTTGTACGAATACTTGGGAGAAGAATACCCTGAGGTTCTAGGCTCAATCCTGGGAGCTCTCAAGGGCATTGTCAATGTCATCGGTATGACCAAGATGACGCCTCCGATCAAGGATCTCTTGCCTAGGCTCACGCCAATCCTCAAGAACAGACATGAGAAGGTACAGGAGAACTGTATTGATCTGGTTGGACGTATTGCTGACCGTGGAGCAGAGTTTGTCTCGGCTAGGGAATGGATGAGAATCTGCTTTGAGCTGTTGGAGTTACTCAAGGCTCACAAGAAGGCCATCAGGAGAGCCACTGTGAACACCTTCGGGCTACATTGCCAAGGCTATTGGGTAAGAGATGGCATCTCCGTGAAGTCAGGGAATAAATATTTTATATTGGACCATATCGTGCCATATGGCTACAGACATACATCAAGGAAGAAATATGTTTATGATTATGGTTGATGTTGCATTTCTACAGAATTCTTGATGACACTCGTTATTGCATCCATGAGGCTATTTTGTCCTGACCCACCCAGACTTGGGTACAGGAGGGGGTGGTGGGGTAACCTAGTGGTTAAATTGTTCACTCGTCATGCGGAAGACCCTGGTTTGATTCCCCACATGGGCACAATGTGTCAAGCCCATTTTCTAGTGTCCCTTGTCGTTGTTGTGATATTGCTGGAATATTGCTAAAAGCGGCTTAAAACCATACTCACCCACACACTTGGGTTACAGGCTGATGTGATATTGCAGAATATTGCTGACAGCAGCATGAATCACACCAACAATCTGGAAGCAAAGATAGATGATAGATGAAAGCACTGCAGTCATTTTCTGCCATTTTAGTCTCTTTTCTTACTTAATCTATTTTTCTGCAGCCCACATGATGTGTTGGCGACCCTCCTGAACAACTTGAAGGTGCAGGAGAGACAAAACAGAGTCTGTACGACAGTTGCCATCGCCATTGTTGCCGAGACATGTTCCCCCTTCACTGTGCTGCCGGCCCTGATGAATGAATACCGTGTGCCCGAGTTGAACGTCCAGAACGGTGTACTCAAGTCTCTGTCCTTCATGTTTGAATACATTGGAGAAATGGGGAAGGACTACATCTATGCTGTATCACCTCTGTTTGAAGATGCTCTCATGGACAGGTAGTTTCCATTGTTTTATTGGAGTGTTGAACACTGTTAGTCTCCTTGTGCCTGGTTATAACAAATTGGGAAGGACTACATCTATGCTGTGTCACCTCTGTTTGAAGATGCTCTCATGGACAGGTAGTTTCCATTGTTTTATTTGAGTGTTGAACACTGTTAGTCTCCTTGTGCCTGGTTATAACAAATTGGGAAGGACTACATCTATGCTGTGTCACCTCTGTTTGAAGATGCTCTCATGGACAGGTAGTTTCCATTGTTTTATTGGAGTGTTGAACACTGTTAGTCTCCTTGTGCCTGGTTATAACAAATGGGAAAGGACTACATCTATGCTGTGTCACCTCTGTTTGAAGATGCTCTCATGGACAGGTAGTTTCCATTGTTTTATTGGAGTGTTGAACACTGTTAGTCTCCTTGTGCCTGGTTATAACAAATTGGGAAGGACTACATCTATGCTGTGTCACCTCTGTTTGAAGATGCTCTCATGGACAGGTAGTTTCCATTGTTTTATTGGAGTGTTGAACACTGTTAGTCTCCTTGTGCCTGGTTATAACAAATGGGGAAGGACTACATCTATGCTGTGTCACCTCTGTTTGAAGATGCTCTCATGGACAGGTAGTTTCCATTGTTTTATTGGAGTGTTGAACACTGTTAGTCTCCTTGTGCCTGGTTATAACAAATGGGGAAGGACTACATCTATGCTGTGTCACCTCTGTTTGAAGATGCTCTCATGGACAGGTAGTTTCCATTGTTTTATTGGAGTGTTGAACACTGTTAGTCTCCTTGTGCCTGGTTATAACAAATTGGGAAGGACTACATCTATGCTGTGTCACCTCCATGTTTGTCAGGGAAAAATGCTGGAATTTTGAATGCTGCTGTAAACATGCTGTATTCTGTTGTAATGAGACATGAGTGAATTGGGTGGTCAAATTATTGAGTTAATTGTGTGTATTGTGTGGTTAGTATTAGTGGTGTTCCGATTAATTGAAATAATCGAAGACTGGTCGCAGTGGCCAAATGACCAAGCAGTCGATTATATTTTCTCATAATGGAACACAAACGATTTTTGAACCACTGTAATAGATTTTGAAATACTTGATGATGGAACATATCTAGGACCTTGTCAGGACTTGAAAACATGTTTAATTCTTTGAAAACACACTTCACTTACTGATAAGTCATGACTGAACATTTCTTGAAAACTCTGGGTAGTTTATGTTCATGATATATTAGTCATCACTTTAAAGAAGCAAGTTGCATCATTTTACATTGGATGTGAAATTTGCAAATGCAATTTGCGCAGTTTCTAAATGCAACAAAAGAGAGAACCAAATGTATTTTCTTTATACTTATCTGCAATAACAAGCTGAAGAGGAAAATCTAAAAGATGACATGAACCTATTTTGTTCAATGCTTATTGGTATTGAACTAATCATCAGTTGTGAGATTTTACCAATTCCCAACACTAATTAGTAAGTGGATTACGATTGATCTTATAGTTACCTGTTGGTGGTAAGGTAAACCCAATCATCTAAAGCACCAAATTCGCTTTAGGTGCATGAGAATCCTATCATTGTAGGTGTGAATTACAAATTCACCCAAATCTAGTTTGGGTGGTTATTACACCTGTGATCATAACAATTTACTGTTTACTTTTGTGTACATTGTTACCTGTCGTCCTGGTTTGCAGAGATTTGGTACACAGGCAGACATCCATGGCAGCAATCCAGCACATGGCTCTTGGTGTTTACGGCTTTGGATGCGAGGATGCACTCACACATCTCCTCAACTATGTCTGGCCCAATATCTTTGAAACCTCCCCTCATGTCGTGCAGGCTTTCATGGGGGCAGTGGAAGGGCTCAGGGTGGCCATTGGGCCGTCCAAAATACTTCAATATGCCATGCAGGTTTGTATTCATTTCTTCTACGAGTGTTAACAAGTTCCAGCAGTGTTTAAATTGTTTGCTCGTCACCCCAAAGACCCAGGTTTGATTTCACTCATGGGTGTAATGTGTGAAGCCCATTTCTGGTTTAACCCCTGCCATGATATGCTTGAGTATTGCAAAAAGTGTCGTAAAATTTCACTCACTCACCCAGTCATCTGAGGTTTGCTCTGCAGAGTTATGTTTCCTAGGCTTGCCAGGATCAGCTGGTTGTGATGAATTTGCTCCAACACATTGGGTTTCATCCAACATCAATAAGGGTGGTGTTCCCCTACTTTAACAGAAGCATATTTGTCATAGTGCTGATACGACTTCGTAGAATTGGTCCTATCGGACCCAGAACAAAATGGCGATTCTGTCTTTCTTCTGAAACACTGATTGAGACAACTTCGATGACGACTGACCGTCTATTGATGTTTCAGGGCCTGTTCCATCCTGCTCGGAAGGTTCGGGACGTCTACTGGAAGGTGTACAACACAGTGTATATCGGGGCACAAGATGGAATGATTCCGGCCTATCCCAGAATCCCCAACGATGCCAAGAACCAGTACATCCGATACGAACTGGACTACATCTTATAGAGTACACTAACTCTGGACAGTCAGTGTTGTGTGAAAGTGCTGGACTCTAGAGAGCTCACAGTGACTGATTTTTGTATCAAAGTCATTAAAAATAATTTTGGTACTCTTGCATGACTTGGATGAGTTCACTGTTTAGGGATCTTGTTAGATGGATTAAGCTATTTGTTAAAAAGTTAACTTATTTCTTGAATTGGGAGTGATATGTGGCTATCTTATTGTTAAACACAACCCAATGAAAAGAATTGTGATTCAATATCTGATAGTCATTTTCAGTGAACATTTTGGTTCTCTTCCAACAATGGATTTTGAAAGCATTATTCATATGAAGCAATTAATTTATATACCTCTGAGGATGTCTGTGAGAAAATGAAAAGCAAGGTGGGTATTTAAGTAAGACCCACTTGTTAATAACTGACACTCACGATTCACACTTTGCTATTGAGACATAAAGGGAAGTTACTCTCATATACTTTACTATTAAGACAGAGGGAAGTTACTCACACATTTCATTGTTGAGACATAAAGGGAAATAACTCTCACACACTTTACTATTGAGACAGGGAAGTTACTCTCACACACTTTACTATTGAGACATAATGGGAAATCGCTGTCACACACTTTACTACTGAGACAGAGGGAAGTTACTGTCACACATTTCACTGTTGAGACATGCATATGGCTCACAGTGTCAGTATTGTTTTTGTTTAACTCATGTATGCGATTCCTTCTTCTCTGCTATATTTTGGCAGTGGATGTACACATGACCCTTAAACACTGGTAGGCTCCAAATGACACACATTTCTGTAAGTGAGAATGTGTGCTGGAATTTGATTGGTTCTTAATTAGATTCAAGTACTGCAAATCATCCCGACTATTCCTGCTTAGATACTGTTAAGCCAGGTGTGGAAACACTACAGCAACAATTGTATAGTGAGTCTGACCATACCTTCAGGAAGACTCTGGTTTCTTACGTTTTTTTGCTTTCTGGAAACAAAGCAAACTCAGTCATCTTGGAAACATCATATTCCCTTTGTGACATCACAGTATTCCAGTCTGATGTCAATTGTCATATCTATTTGTGTATGGATAGAAAGAGTGCAATGGAAACTTAACGATATCTATATGAATTTACAATGTTGATACTGGTTTTGAGATGTTCAGGTTTTAAGAATTTAAATCTTTGAAATTTCATTTGTAACATATGTATATCTCCTTAAGACATTGTAAAATGGTTAGGAAAACACTTGGTAGTGTATGGTTATGTTATTGCATTCATAGGGATTTAGGTGTTGGTCTTTGTGAAGATACTTCACAGATATTTGTCATCTGCTATAAATGCCCTCTTATAGAACTGATGCATGTTGTACATTCATAGATCTTGTGGATTCTTGAACACCCATAGTGGTTAGTATCACACTCAAAAGGATACCTTTCATCTCCATGTTTCTAGGCTGATATTTCCAATCATTGTTAACACACTTCATTTGTTCACTGTAAGATACTAAGTCATGTATGTTCATCATGTGACAATTTCATTTCATCCTTAAAAGTGAATAACAATCTCAATTGTGGCGTGTCAATTGTGTTGACGTTTCACCTGAGCTCTCTGCGTGTCAATCTTTGGTCATGTTTTGTCTGTAAAATTTCATGTAAATAGAAATAAATCTGTACAAATCTTTTTTTTTTTGTTTGTGTTTATGTGTGTATGTGTGTATGTGTGAAATGCTTCCTTCCATGGTCTAGTGGATAGATTGTCCTCAAGGAAAATTGCATCTTCCATGCCTAGTGAGAACACCAGAAGATGTCTGTGGTGTATGGAAACATGCTTGTAAGGAATGTTAATCAAGGAAATTTATATCAACATAATGCCACAGTATGGAATCGCAGAATATCAGGAATGAGACTCTCCTTCGGAACATCACCATTGTATCACCTGCCCAGAAAATGCATGTACAATAATTTGTCAGAATTGTCAGCAACCATGGTGGGGACAGATAGAACATGTACCCAACTTTCCAGTTGCTCTAACAGCCGTGTTGAGAAGGTACACATAAATCAGTTGACAAACAATCTAATTATGACGTCAAAGTGAGTAAAAATGTAAGGTCACATTGGTAGTATTTCAGGTATAAGCGGTATGATAATATATACCTGTTCAGAATTGTTTCAAGACATGCATTGGGTAAATGTTTCGGGAGCTGGCAATGGATATTATCAGCGCCTGTTGCAGTATCATGAGTTTGCACTAAGGCAGTATTTAGCTCATGTAGTGAAAATACATCATTGTAGTCTTCACCATTATCAGAATGAAAGTTAATTTTTTGCTTTTCTTGATAATATTTATGTTTCTGAAACTTGGGATTATAATTGGAGTTTCACCCAACATGTTTGCAATGTCAATTTTATGAGTTACAAGACCGTGTCCATCTTTAAGATAATGAACAATATAATTTCTACCTTTGCCCTTGATTCTCTCTATCATGTTCCACACCTTCATTGGTGTACGGGAATTAATTTTTGATAAAAAGTTCTTTCAAGACTGACATTTACTTTGTTTAAAAGTAAGTCGAGTCTTGACATTATTTTTGCTCGTCACGCTGAAGACCCGGGTTTGATTCCCCACATGGGTACAATGTTGTGTGAAGCTCATTTCTGGTGTTCCCCGCCGTGATATTGCTGGGATATTGCTAAAAGCGGCGTAAAACCATACTCATTCACTCACTTGGCATTATTTATTTTTAGATTATTTAAATTGTTAACAGTAGGCTGTCGGCGAAAGTATTTCTCTGACTTCTTCCTACACTTCCTAGCTTGTTTACAATAGTAGTATATACAGTGGGGGTCTTGGGGAGGACCTAATCCCGTACCCCCACTGTATATACTACTGTTTGATGTGCATGTCAGAAAGGAGATACATGATAATTATTCAGCAGTGGATGATCTATAAGGGACTGTGTCGTGAGGTACGATCATCAACTCTCTCTGACGAATGCTCTTGGTGGCCCGTCTTTCAAGTATGGACTGTGCGCAGCATTCATGTTTGTGATGTATTAACTCATTGTCTCCAGGAGAGAATCACTTTTGCACATCCTTGTTTAAGTTATACACCATATATGTCCAGGGAATGTGTGCTGTCGGTATTTCTTCACATCGAATTTAATGTTACTCCAATATGAATATATTCGGGCGAGATGATGACGCCTTGTTCAGATAATCCTTGCTTTCTGTGACTTTATTCATATCTACATTGTAATATACGATGGATCATTTGAACATTGAGCGTTACTCCTAAATTTTGTTAAGACCTATAGTCTGTTTGGGTCAGAATGATACCGATGAATCACAATCTAACTCCAAATTGATGAGTACATAATCAAATATCCATTTCAACGCAGACCGTAATGAAAACATCAGACCAACTCTGGAAAAAAAGTTTCATAACATTTGTCCCCAAAATATAAAAAAGTTACTTAAGTAATTATCATCATTTTGCTTTGATTTTCCGTGTTTAGTGTTCAGGAGGTTTTGCGCGCCTAAACGCACCAGAGAGTTTCCGTGACACGTGACTGCCCGAGAGGGTCAGTTAGATATTTGAGCTTGTCAGAGTAAGACCTTATTTGTTTAGATATAGTGTGAAACTAAGATAACATTTTGGCTTTCCCTTATTATCAATGGTAGCAGAGCGTGGTTATTTCATTAGTTTCTTCGTATCTTTTATAGTGTATCAGATGCTTGGCCAGTGCAAGGTAAGTGTAAATGCAACATTGTGTCTGTTATCATTCTAAAAGAGTATGGCTTCTACTTGAAAAGGGACTGAGGTCTCTGAACAGGAGTCAAATGTAGTAGATAAAGAATGGTCCTTGATAGAGCACATTTTGACACTCAAGCAACAGAAAGCAAATGCTAAGTCAGCATTTACAAATGCAAAGAATAAATTAAATAATTTGATAGAGACTGAGGGTTTACCTTATCGGAAAACTGTTCGGGAGGGCATAAACAAAATACATTCTCTTTAGAACAAGGCAATGTATGTCATGGTAAAGCTTTCACGGGCTTTTTTAGAAATATACAGACTGAGAAAGTAGAACAAACTGAAACTGAAATCAGTTGTATTGAAACTGAAACTGCCAAAGTCATAAACACGGCACAAAGGCACCTAGATCAAAGGTCAGATGCCGCATCACAGTCAATTTACACAATTGATAGGCTGTTTAATAACAGGACCAAAGAGGATGCCAAAAGTAATGTTTCTGTTGAATCCAGAACCCCAAACAACCAAATTGCCTGGACAAGCAACTTGTAGTGAAGTGCCAAGTTGTTTTATGCCACAATCACCTAGTAGAGCAATAGGAAATGATATGTGGAGGCATTCGTAACCAACTCGTGTTATTCCGGGACAAGCCATTCGACCCATGCCACTCTGGAAGGATTTCTTTTTGGCGCATGAACATCAGAACTACTTTAAGAACGATAACCCTATCCCTGTTTGATTCAAATGTTTCTGAATATTACCGAAGCACATGTACATTGTATTGCTTGGGGTTTTTTGTGTGTGTTTTTTTACTTATTTTTCTTAAAGAATTAATCCTCTTTGATATAACTAAAAGGAGAAAAACATATTTGTGAAATACATCATATTCTAATGTAGTTATTACCAGCTGTTCACCTTATATTTCCAGTTGTGTTAATTTTTTTAAAAGGGTATAATAATCAAAAATGGGAATTGTTTTATTGAATATACAAATATAATAATATTTTTCGGCTACATTAAATCCCAAAGCAGATACTAAAAAAATGGCTTTAAAATGTTTCACAAACTGAACATTCGTGTATCCTTGCTGTCAAAATTTTAAATGAATTCGCTGAAAAATATATATGAATGACCAAAAAACAGTCAGACTAAAATATCCCCAGAGCTGTGAAATATAAGCCAGATGTTAAAGATTAAGGTTGATCAGTTACATACAAGTATGATATTATTGTTTTGAAACTCGAAGCGATTATAATTACGTTTCCTAAAATTGGTCGAAGCGCACGTACAATCTCCATAACAAGCCCGCCATATCGTCGTTTGAGCGCGGGCCTGTGTTTTCGTGCTGGTTCCAGATGTGTGCTGGGAACTTGGCATCATCTTCAACCCAGGTGCTGGTGACGTAGTCGTTGAAGGCTGCTACTCTGTCGCCGTCGGGAGACTGCTCGATGACTTCAAACCAAGCATCTTGGACCTGGTTCAGGGGAAGAAGTGGCAAAGCAGCTGCTCGTCGAACGTGGGCTTGGACTGCTGGGTTGTTCATGTAGTCGCGAGACAGTCCCCTCTCCAAAACTTGACGCCACAAAGCTTGAGAATAATGGAATAGGCAACCTCGGACGGAACTGTCGGGGAAGACTTCACTAATAGCACTGATAACTGCTGCTTCATAGTCGATCTGGAATATTTCTGGTGAAAGTTCGATGCCAAGTCGTCTCACAACAATATCCTTCAGCAAAGTGAAAAGCCTAACATACGTCCGCTTGGTCTTGTTGGGAAGCAACGCAAAAGCGACAGGAAACATTTTACCATTCACCAGTCAGAAATACACTCCGTTAGACCCATGAGAGCCGTTATGTCAACAAATGCACGTGTGTGTATTTGAATCTCTCACCGTCATTCGCATGATTCTTATTAAAAACTTCATAATAGCCAGCAAAATCCTGTTAGCTACGTTCTTTGTACTTTCAACATGACGATATATATTTTTCATGATTTTTTAAACAATGACATAATGCCTTAAACGATTTAAGTACTCGGGATTATTTTTATCAAAGCACCGCACTCATTTACGCGCGTTCTGATTGGTTTGTCGTATTTTCGCACATAACAAGCATCGATAGGGGGACGAGTCTTCTTGGAGGTTACGGAAAGGGGCGAGTGGTGACGAGTGATCTGGAAGCAGCCTAAACAGGTATCAATTCCGGAGTTCTCTGGTGACCTCAGAATGTAAGAAAGCTGGAAAGCTGCATGTATCACGTTTATCGTATAAACGATATAAACGTTCGAGTTACAGCAATACTTATCAGGCAGTGCTTTGAACATTGAAGGGTTATGGCATAGTGTTGTGGCGTATGACATGGCTTTAGAACGTTTGGAACGAAAGTCTTGAGGAAAGAGACGACAGGTTTCATTACAGTTAGAAACACTGAGTAATTTCAAACCTAATCGTCAAGGCTGTGCTAAGGACCTCTAGAAATTTGCAGACGTGTTAGGGTTGAGGAATTAGGCAATGAAATGCTATACAACATTCTGCTAAAGAAAATGGCCGAAACAAAATGATATTGCCATATCAAAGATGGCTTCACGATGGTGAAGAACGTGTAGAATCTCTGAGGGAATGGATACTACAAGAGTCCGAGAATCAGACCATAGCTTCTGAAACTGTACATGGCACAGCACAAAAAGGTAAAACGTCGGATTACAAAGGTAAACGGTCTTGTACATTTGTCACTAATCAGCTGTGTCAAAGCACTCCCTCTCAAAGAATACTTCATGAAGAGTTGTCGAGGTGTCGAGAATTCAAGAACACGATTGCCTCTGATAAATGGGACACTGCCAAAAAGTACAGTGCCTGTTTTCGTTATCTTGGTTACTCTCACATTGGTTCCAAGTGTAAGATTATCACACAGTGCAGTATCGGTGGTTGTATTAAAACTCACATAAGGCTTTTGCATGATCCAGCGAATTCAAACAAGACTCAGACAACAAATAAAGCTCTTTTGTCGAAGACAGATGCAATACAGTCACCCTATTGTAGAGGTAGATAAGGAATTTCAGGTTAGGCCTCAGACCAAGAATGGCAGTTGTTCTGAAAGAGCCCACACTACAATTCCAAAACCAGAGCCTAGGAAGCCATCGGAAGCTCTAAGGACAGTACCATTTATTCTCCCAAATGGCAAAAGAAGGATTTGCGTTACTGGATGACGCTAGTTGTAGGTCCTATCTGAATGACGATGCAGCTTCAGATATCGGACTCTAGGGACCAACACAAACAGTTTCTGTAAATGTATTGAATTGCAATACTGAAAGATTTCAGCCAAAGTCTGTCAGTTTTCAAATAGAAAGTGTAAGTGGCGACATCAATCTTGAAATGTCAGCACTTACGACGACACGTGTAACAGGTGATATGCAGGTGATTGACTGGGAAAAGCATAAGGATAAGTGGTATCATTTGCACAACATCAGTTTCCCAGTTATTGGACGGAATCCGAAAGTAATAGGAATTGATTACCTACAGCTTCATCAGTCGTATGAAGACATCTCAGGTCAACCAGGTGATCCTATCGCCAGAAGGACTCCTCTTGGGTGGACTTGTATTGGCAATATAGGACAGATAGCTTCGGCCCTGACTTCACATAGACAGGTAGTAGAAAGGCTCCGGTTCTATCAAGCAGCTGGTCACGCCAAGGCCTGTGCATGGTAACTATGTTGCACAAAATTTGATTTATTCCAAAATATATTGTATAGTCTTGGCGATAAATGTTTGTTTAGTGTTTGCCCTAGGCATATTTGGCAGGGCGCAGCGCCCTGTCCTTTTTATTCAGCGCCCTGCCCTTTTCATTTAGCGCCCTACCCTTTTCATTTAGCGCCCTACCCTTTTCATTTAACGCCCTTCCCTTTTCATTTATCGCTGTGCCCTTTTGAATCACCGCATTATCTGCCCTTTGAAAAAATCCAATATTTTCCGGATTTTGACAAAGGCAGGAGTTGGCTCCCTTCCCGGATGTTTTGTTGTGCAACAAAACTACCTATTAAAGTCATGGCGATTTCGGCTTTGTTCATTTTCATTCTGATTCACAATGCCAACCAAAGAAAGAACAAACAGGAAAAGAGAAGAAGCTGTGAAGGCTGAAGCAAGGACGTGTCGTCGACTCGTGGATTTCTTGACAATGACTTCCGCCATTTTGAACGGATAGCGGCAAAATTAGAAAAAATTTCCAGCAATAATCTAGGTTCATGTGATCTCTTTATAGCTAATACAACATGCCCATTCTGTCTCTGTTATGTTTAAGAATATTTGCTGTAAATACATTACGTCCATATCTTATTTTAGTCATTTTGTGAGGAGAAAATAAAAACGAATGAAACAAAGGGAAGCCATATCGGACATGATCACTTCAGAATATTCCGAAGTTTTTTCTTTTCCTTTTCCTTTTCACTGCTTGTCTCAAGTATTTAAAACACACCGGTGATTATTATCCTCTCTAATATTACGTTATTTAATAGATTCTAATATGTTTTTTTACTTTTAATTTCTCCTTGTTCAGTCGACCTCGCTCTGAAATAACTCTTTCGGAAGCACGTATTTTTCATTTCCATTTTCTAGATAAACACAAACCCCTCTCTTTGCTTTAGTTAATATTTGTACTGGGCATATCTGTTGAAATTTTATTAACTCTTTGTAAATGTACGAATTACCGAAGTAATAATTCCACACGAAATAGACACTGGAATCGAAGCCACATCAAACATGTCTATTTCTGAACGTATCTAAGTTTATTTTTTGCTCTGCATACATTTAGTTTTTCATCTTCTAAAATATCGGTAAAAATACTACAGCATTTTTTCTATATATACTTAATTTGAAGTTAGTAGATTTTGTGGTGGATAAGGTGTCTGCAATGAACAAAGACAATTTTTACTTGTCTCCATATCAAGTCTTAAAGATTTTCAAAATGAAAAATAATTGTTCCAAACCTTTGTGTATATTTATCTGATATTTTACCCTAATTTATCATCAACTGAAATGGAATAAAAGTGTTAACTGTTTTTTCTGTGTGTGAAAAAGTACTTTCATTAGTACAAGGTATTTTTACTATTCTTATTTTCTTAATATTCAAAGGATGTTTTCTTACTACCAAATTACAAAATACAATAAATTTTGTCTGAAAATAAAACTGACTTGTATGTGTATTTCAGACCCGATGTAGAAGATTCAGAACTTGTTTGCTATGACATTTAAAAGCGGTTGTCCTCAAACAACGAATAAGAAAAATGCAGGTCACGAGCTTGTCTTCGATACCAAGTGGAAACAAGATCGCCCCTGGCTAAAATACGTTGAGGATGCAACCGAGGAGGGTGAAACAAGCTGCATGATGTTTTGTTCTCTTTGCACTAAGTGGAATATGAAAGGACGAAATTGATCCATGGTTTGGACACAAGTTGGATGTCAAACTGTAAGACTGGACACAATTACTTTGCATGAGAACTCTCAAATGCACCAGGAAGCAGTCAAACTTGAAAACGATGACGCTGTGTCCATTCATGACATATTTCATAGTTATTCTGAGCAGGAAACTTCATCACTTGAAGACGCACAGAAAGTTTGGCCAAATACGACATTGTTTGGACCTCTCATAGACTTGTGTGCTGGACTTGGTGCTCCCAATATAGCCCAACTGAACCATGGAAAGAATGCCACGTACAGTGGACATAGAACAGTTCAGGAATTTCTTTAATGTCAGGCTGAGGTGGTAGAAGAGCAAGTCCTACAGAAGATGAGAGAGAGAAGTTCATTTGGCTTGATGCTTGACGAATGCACAGATGTGTCAACCAGAAAACACCTTGCTTTCGTGGGCCGTTATCTGGAAAATAGAGAGGCGAAACTTGCATTTCTCCAGGATGCTGAAATTCCTAATGGAACGGAAAACACTATTGTGGAGAATGTCAAGGACTATCTACATCAGACTGACTTGGACCAGAATAAAATGACCTGTTTTGCAAGTGAGTGAGTGAGTGAGTGAGTTATTACTTAACGTCACATCGGCAATATTTCAGCCATATCGTGACGAGAACACTTGACATTGAAATAGAATATATATAGAGATTATAAAACCTGCAAACAAAGGACAGTAAATCAACTAGAGTATCACAGATATATGTGTAAAACTAGTAATGGAATCTAAAACATTTTAACTATAGGGGACAACACAATATATAAATGGGCTATAGATCGCCAACAACTGAAGGTAGATCACCATACTAGGGACCATGGGGACTTACATTACTTTTGCTACCTGCATGGACCCTAGTTGGATTTACACCATCCCTTCAGCTGCTGGCGATGGTACGAAATGTTAGCCAAAATCAAAATGACAAGAATGATACGTTTCACTGACTGACTGACTGACTGAGTTTAGTTTTACGCCGCTTTTAGCAATATTCCAGCAATATCACGGCGGGGACACCAGAAATGGGCTTAACACATTGTGCCCATGTGGGGAATCGAACCCGGGTCTTCGGCGTGTCGAGCCAACGCTTTAACCACTAGGCTACCCCACCGCCCGATACGTTTAACAATCCAGGCAAGTTTAAATTGACTTTGAAAGTTTTGGGACTCACGTACCCTCTCAGGAGTACAATAATTTTACGCTACATCAACCCCCTTTGAGGGTACAGCCACTAACAATCTCAGTGACTAATATACACTACCAACAATAAAATATTTAGCTATTTACAGATCAGTCAACAAATCTAATTCTTTTATAAATTCAACTATTAGATGATAATTAACATTATAAA